TGGGAAACAACTTTAAAATTAAGATTTCTAGGGGATAAACCAGGTTATAACAAACCAATTCCCAAGCAAATAAAATTTGCTACCAGCATTACACCACTCATAAAAGTTAACTGGTACTCCCGGAACTGAGCCCATGACAGTTAACTGGTACTCCCGGAACTGAGTCCGTGATTTCTGAATAAAAATCAGAGATGTTTTAGCTAATGCTAAAATTGGATTTCTTTTCTCAAAACCACAACACTTTGGAAATAATCAGATTATAATCAAAGATTTTTCTCCAAACTTGGTTTTCCAACACTTTGGGAATAAAATGATTAAATCCAAAGACTTCCTCAAACCCCAAAGGTTTGAAACCAAATCCGCCTTAATTGTCATTTCTGAACAAATAAGAACTACTCTTTAGCCAAGGCTAAAGACTTTGGTTTCTATTACAGAAAACCAAACCAAACCAAACCAAATTCCAAACTTACAAGCAATTTAAAAATTGTTACAACCAAATACATGCATATAAAATGCTTCTAATAATACAAGCAAATAAAACTTGCTACTACAAATTGGTAAACGAACCAACTAAATCTCAAGCAAAAAATGCTTCAACCATTTATATAAAATAGCTAATCCATAAGGATTCTATTTAGTCCAAAAGCCTTTCCACGCTTAGGTATTCCTATTCAACACAAAAGTTAGTAGTCCAAACATTTTTGTTTTTACATTCCAAATACTATTTATTTGGTTTTGTATTTGTTTTTCCATTCCCTTTTGCATAAGTATTCCTGTAAAGAAAGTTAGAAGAAAAAACCACAACAAAATACAAACAAATAATCTAAGCAAAAAATAATTATAATAAATAATTGAAACCATTTTAAACTAATAACTCCAAATAAATAAGTTAAATTCAAAGTTAATACACCCAATTAATTAATTCAGATTAATGCACCCAATTAAATTCAAATTAATCATCTACACAATTCATAAAAACTCTATAACTCCAAAATACATTAAACCAAAATTAATAGGCAAGAATTATAAATAATTGTTAGAAACTAATAACCATTTAGCAATTAACATGCAAAAAATTCTAAAGATTAAATCATGTAAGAAAACTAAAAGCTAGAAACTAAATAACATGTCAAAACTTGCATAATTTACAAGCATTGAATTTCAAGGAAAAAACCAGTGGACTAAAAACCATAAAATTGAAAGTCTATGAGCAGAACAAGACAAACTCAAAAGTCATGCAAATCATGGTAGGGGAATGATGAAAAAAAATTCCAATTGCATGCATTCGAACATTTCAAGTACAATAAAATAGACGTAGTTTTTTTGTTTAAAGAAAATTAATCAAAAATTGTCCAACTCAAACTTGACGAAGTGACCGATCTAAAAAAACAAAAACTTGACAGAAGTGAGAGAGGAAAAATGGTGGAAGAATGCTAGACATTTCTATAATTTAAATATTTAAATTTATTTACAACGACAAGAGATGTAAGTTAAACTCATCATATCATTATAAATAAAATTAAAAAATCTTTTTTTGAAAAGTAATAATAATACTAATATGCTTTTTTGATGGCGAGATTAGTGGGAATAAGGAGTGAGGTGACAGATAGACCTATGACTGAAATGAGTTGAGTCAAGCTGGATAGTTGATTGTTTAAATTGGTTTGATAACTTAATGAGTTTAAAATTATATTTAAATTTGATTTATTTGCATAACGAATCAATTCAAATGATTTTTTTAACGAGCCGAATATGAATTGAGTTCGAGTAGTTTGATTTTTTATAATGTATATAAGTTTATCGAGCCGTGTAATAGATTGTTCAAGCTTAGCTTGAAAACTTATTGAGCTTAAAATTGTGTTTAAATTTAGCTTGTTTACAAAACGAGTAAATCTCGAACAAATTTTTCACAAACCCAACATAAGTCAAGTTCGAATAACTTGGTTCGTTTAGCACCCCAAGCTAGACCTCACATGTTGAATAGTCTCGTGTTTGATATTATTATGGAATAGAATCAAATGGGAAATAGCCAATATTCTGAATAATGTTTTATTTTTCATTCATTCAACTATCAAAAAAATGTTGAAAAGTAGTTTTAATAATTAATGTTTTGGTCAAAGCAGATCTACAATGTAAAGAAATCTCCTCTATGAGTAAACTAACTAACATATATTACTTATTTAGAAGTGAACGCAAAATTAACTCTCAATAGAGTAATGTTAGATATCTTAAAAATTTTATTAAAATTTTTATCAAATGTCTCACATGATATGGGACTCACACAATGTAGATCTCATGTGGGTCCCACATCCATGTGAGATATTTGATAAAAATTTTAGTAAAATTTTTGAGACCCCTAGCATTTTTGCTCTCAAGATATCAATAATGCTAACTAAACTTACTTCACATTGGCTTTTTATGAAACCTTTGTGTAGTATATATATACTCTTACCTTAAAAATGGGTTTGGGCACTGAGAGACACCCAAATTTTATGGAAGAGTAACATAAAATAAAGGAAACTTAGCCAAAACCCCTTCATTGGACTTTTATTTGGTGAAAATGATAGCCCAATTTATTTTGCTTTATAAACCGCCTAAGGAGAAAACACATAATTGAGTAAGGACAAAATAAAAAATATATATTTTTTTCTTGGGCAATATTGCTAGAGTAACATGTTGCCGTCAAACAGAGTAACTGTTAAACAAAATAACATGTTACTATTACTGTTTACATCAATTTTGACGGTAATATTTCTTTATTTTTTTTAAGAATTTCATAGTCAACATGGATCTTATTTGATAGATCTTGAAGGGGGAATTTAAAAAATACTAATTTTATTAAAAACCAACATCTACATCAAAAGTTATATTATTATAAAGTTTAATATTTTGATAATAATAATATGTGTTGAACTTTTTAAGAAAAACTTTTTATACTAGTCCTTAATGCATTAAAAGTTTATTATGAGAGAGTTTTAACCAAATCCTCCTAACAATAATCCTATCCTTAATTGTGTCCTTTATCCAACCCTAAGCAAACATACCACAACCATGCATAATCTCATTCAATGATGGTTGGACTGGAAGCTGTAAGGTTACGTCATGGTTACATTTGTACAGAGTATAGCAAGACTCAATGTTAATGTGTGGGCCTGACTCAATGTATTCTCTCCCAACAATCATGGGTAATTAGAAGGTTGGCTATTGGTCACACAACTATTGGAGGATTGAAGATTGGTCTTCACAAATATAGTTGCCAATTGTTTGCCAAATACCTTTGTTAGATATCCAATCTGAGCAGAAACTTTTGATTCATACTCTTTCATATACTAAAATGGTGCACACAAGTATGCTTTCCAGGCAGGTCAGTTTATCTTTCATTCTCTCTTATTACCTTCTCTTTTACATGCACTCCATTGCATTTTTGGCCAAACCAATTTCTGGTTTCACAAATGAGACCGACCGCAAAGCTTTGCTCGCCATTAAAGATCTAGTAACAGAGGACCCTTCACGATTTCTTAGCTCATGGAATGATTCTAATCATTTTTGCAACTGGCATGGAGTCACCTGTGGGCGTCGGCACCAACGAGTGACCGCCCTAAACATGTCATCACTTAAGTTGGTTGGTTCCCTGTCTCCTCAGATAGGTAACCTTACGTTCCTTGAAGAGATCAATATTCAGGGTAACAACTTCCGTGGCACAATCCCTCAAGAAATTGGTGGATTGTTTCGCCTGCAAAATCTTCGTCTGGCAAATAACTCTTTCCAGGGAGAAATTCCTATCAATCTGACTCATTGCTCACATATCCGAGTCATTGATTTGAAAGGAAACAACCTTGAAGGGACTATTCCTCCTGAATTGAGTATTTTGTCTAAGCTCAATCAATTGAGTCTTTCCAGAAATAATTTCTCTGGAATCATTCCACCTTCACTTGGGAACCTGACACTTATAGCGGCGTTTTTTAAACGCCGCTAAAAGCTGAATTTCTTGCAGTGAGTCATTGGTCTTTCTTCCCTCTTTCTCAGTTTCATCGTACGTGAGAACTATTTAACAGGACCATTGCCATCAGAAGTGGGTAAGTCAGACAAGCTCACAGTATTGCATATTTCAGAAAACAAATTGTCTGGTGAAATCCCAAGTACTCTTGGGAACTGTTTGATGTTAGACTCCCTGCATATGGAAGGCAACTTTTTTTAGGGAACCATTCCATCAAAGCTAAAAAACTTAAAAGTCATTGAATACATGGACTTTTCTCGCAACAATCTGTCTGGAAAGATTCCATTGTTTCTGGGGCAGTTGAACTTACTTGGCGATCTCAATCTTTCCTTCAACAAGTTTGAGGGTGAAGTGCCAAACGAAGGAGTATTCAAAACATCAGTTTATTTTCAGTTATAGGGAACATAAATCTATGTAGAGGGGTCAAGCAATTACTGTTGTTCAAATTGTGAAATTAAATAAATAGATTTATGAAGAAATCAAATTATATACCAAAAACATATGCTGATAATTACAACTAAATTTCAACATAAATACACAAAACAATAAAAGGGTAAAGAGACGAAACTGAAGCCTGCACGGAAGCAGTTTCCTTAAAACAGATTTCGCCGCCTCACGGGTCAAGTGCTTGAGGAATCCCAGCGTCTGTCTCCCAGGATACGACGGTCAAAACCAATTATGACAGAAGCACTCTCTGTTTAGTTTAGCGAACAAAAACAGTGGCAGCACTCTCTCACTGTAGGAACTTTCTGGCAAACTGACTAAAGAATGGAAGAAACAATTTCTATGTTTGAGACTTGACAGGAGGGTCTCAATTTATACATATATAGGGGAGAGAGAAGAAGCATCCAGCCTTTATGGCTGGTCACTAATGCATCATTAACCTCTGCAATAAAGGCAGGAGTTACAAACCCCATTAATGCACTATTAAACTCTGCAATAAAGGCAGAAGTTACAAACCCCATTAACTCTTTCATGAAGCTAACTTCATAGGGAAGAAAATATGCTCGAGGGAAGCATACCTGTTTCTTTGGGTAATTGCAGTAACTTGGAAGGACTCCATCTTGCACGAAATCGCCTCACCGGTGGCATACCTGGAGAAGTCATTGGCCTTTCTTCCCTCTTTCTCGGTTTCATCGTACGTGAGAACTATTTAATAGGACCATTGCCATCAGAAGTGGGTAAGTCAGACAAGCTCACAGTATTGGATATTTCAGAAAACAAATTGTCTGGTGAAATCCCAATTACTCTTGGGAACTATTTGATGTTAGACTCCCTGCATATGGAAGGCAACTTTTTTGAGGGAAACATTCCATCAGAGCTAAAAAACTTAAAAGCCATTGAATACATGGACTTTTCTCGCAACAATCTGTCTGGAAAGATTCCATTGTTTCTGGGGCAGTTGAACTTACATGGCGATCTCAATCTTTCCTTCAACAAGTTTGAGGGTGAAGTGCCAAATGAAGGAGTTTTCAAAAACATCAGTTTATTTTCAGTTATAGGGAACATAAATCTATGTGGAGGGGCCAAGCAATTACAATTGCCTGCATGTCCCACAGAAAGGAAAAAGCCTTCTACACATGCAGTAAGATTGGTTGCAACCAGCATTGGGATTTCTATCATTTTATTAGGAGTATGTTCCCACAGAAAGGAAAAAGTCTTCTACACATGAAGTATGATTGGTTGCAACCAGCATTGGGATTTCTATCATTTTATTAGGAGTATGTGTTTGTGCTGTTATTTATCGATTTAGAAATTCCAAACAACAACCCTCTTTGTCCTCAACAGAGAAGAACCAATATCCACAACTTTCTTATGCAGAACTACATCAATCTACCAATGGATTCTCTTCAGACAACTTGATTGGAAAGGGAAGATATGGTTCTGTTTATAAGGGGATCCTCAATTCTGATGAGCAAACTGTTGCTCTGAAAGTACTCAACCTTCAAGAAAGTGGAGCAAACAAGAGCTTTTTGGCAGAATGTGAAGCATTACGAAACCTTTGTCATCGGAATCTGGTCAAGGTCATCACCTCTTATTCAAGTATAGATTTTAAAGGCAGTGATTTCAAAGCTTTAGTCTTTGAGTTCATGCAAAATGGGAGTTTAGAAGGTTGGTTATATCCAAGTTCACTTGAACAGAATGACACAGAGAACTTGAACCTAACCCAAAGGCTAAACATAGCAATCGATGTAGCCTTGGCATTGGAATATCTTCATCATCATTATGATATACCAATCGCTCATTGTGATTTGAAGCCGAGCAATGTTCTTCTTGACAACAATCTCGCTGCCCATGTAGGTGATTTTGGCCTAGCAAAATTTGTTTTAGCTACCATAGGAGACTCCAACTATGCACAAAGCAGTTCAATTGGGATTAGAGGAATAGTTGGGTACATTGCTCCAGGTAATCGAAATCCACTTAAATATTCATACATCTAATCTTCTTGCCTAATAGTGTTGGATAAATTTATTGTTATTATGATATAATTTTTTGTTGCCTTCCTAGACCCCGTCTTAGCAGAAGTCTCTTTCATAGGGTCACCCTTTTTATTATATCAAATTATCTTCTAACAATAAGTTAGTGTCATGTGAATCTAGGATGATGTTGAAGATATACCACCACTATTTAGTCATGTCATGTCCATGTGTGCTTCAAACTAATCCCTAAAAGATAATAAGTTTGGAAATATTGAAAAGGCTTGCAAGTTCATTCTTTTCTTTTTCTTTGCCTTTCCCCCAATTCAAAATGCAGAATATGGTATGGGTGGAGACATATCGACACAAGGTGATTTGTACAGCTATGGAATCCTCTTACTGGAAATGTTTAGAGGAAAAAGACCAACCAACAACATGTTTACAAACAATTTCAACCTCCATAGCCATGCTAAGATGGCTCTCCCACATCGAGTGGTGGAAATTGTTGATCCACAAATCATAATGGAAGAGAGAGACGCATCTAGTAGGATCAGCCAAAATACTGAAGGCAATGTAACGTAGGAATGCTTGGCAACAATACTTCAAATTGGAGTTGCTTGTTCCGCTGAAGGCCCAAAAGAGCAGATGGATATTAAAGATGTTCTCAAGGAACTATGAAGGATTAGAAATGTAATTGCTCAAGGTTAAAGAGAGGGCGAGGATGTTGATATCACCCCATGTGAAGGGGGTGATTCTCTCCAATGTGAAGTCGGCTGCAACATTCCTTGATTGCGGCTGCCAACCGACAAGCCGCCAAGGTTGACGATCCACCTTCGTTGAATGACCAGCTAGCCATGTGCAAGGCCAGCCATCTCTCTCCATTCTTAGTGTATAAATAGAGGTAGAGAGAGCAGAGGGAAATGTGGTGAGTGATGAGCTTAAGAGAGTTTACAGAGTGAGAGAATACAGAGTGTGTAATACATTTCTCCATATGGTGAAATCTGCTGCCCATGGACGTAGGCGACTTGCCGAACCACGTTAAATCTCTTGTGTTATTGCTTGTGTGTGTTCCCTGGTGTGCCCCTGATCCACAACAATTGGTATCAGAGCTCGGCTTGTGAAAAATCAAATTTTTTCCGAAAGTGCCCAGATTTTGAAGTGCTCGAAATCGACTTTTGAGCACACTAGGAGCAAGATCTCCAAGAGACGAGTCCAGAAAAGCAAAAACTAGCCCCAAAAGACTATCCACGCGCTCTCACACGCCTTCTAAAGAAGGAGAGTAAAGCCCACTCTCCACACGCGCCGCCACGCGCCGTTGACAGTGTCGGCGCGTCAACCCAGTCGCTCCCACGCGCCTCACGCGCCGCAGAAGGAAGAAGGCGACTAAGGGGAAGCGCGTGAACTCCACGCGCCAGCCACGTGGCGCCACGTCATCCACCACGTCATTGACACGCCAGCAGAAGTGCCGCGTCATCTGACATGTGTCTTGACATGTCATCGCAGAGTCGTTGACCGCGCCGTCAAGCCGTTGACTGCGCCGCCCGCGCCGTTGACCGCATCATTCCAGAGTAATTATCCGGTGCATCTCAGACACACCAGATTCTGCAGATCTGAACCGTCCACACTGTTTTGGCTCTATCGAAGTCATTCGGAGTCCGTTTTTGACGATCCAATAGTGTCTTCCAACTATTTGGAGTATTCCGGACACATCCGTATGGTCAGTTTTTGAATCGGAGGTGTTCAAATTATTTTGACTTGATCTGAGTCATTCAGAGTCCGTTTTTGACGATCCAATAGTGCTTTCCAACTATTCAGAGTATTCCGGACACATCTGTACGGTCAGTTTTTTGAACCAAAGTTTCTAAAAAAAAAAATAGTTTAATGGCAGAATCTACAAAGACTAGATCCATCGAGTCCGTAAGTAATCCAGCGAGTACAAGCAACTCTAGGCATTGGACCCCGGTGTCCCATGCTAAGTTCGAGGTAGAAAAGTTTGATGGAAGCAGCAACTTCGGCATGTGAAGATGCGAAGTTAAAGATATGCTTGTCCAGATGAACTTGCACTTCACTCTGGGAGACAAACCAGATGACCTGGACGATAGAATGGGAGAGGGTGAATCTCCTGGCCTGTAGTTCCATCCGACTTTGCCTTGCAAAAGAGGAGAAGTATGCCTTTACAGAATATGATATTGCGAAGGACCTTTGGAAGGCGCTGGAAGATAAGTTCATGACAAAGAGCATTGAGAACCGGCTCTACTTGAAGAAGAGGTTATTTCGTTTCGACTACAAGAAAGGTATTTCGATGAACGAATACCTAAACAACTTCAACAAAATTCTTACGGATTTGAAAATTTTGGATGATCACATTAGTGATGAAGATAAAGCACTGTTATTGTTGAATTCCTTACCTGACTCATATGATCATCTCACTACCACTTTACTGTACGGTAAAGAAAAGATCAAGTATGTTGATGTTGCAAATGCCTTGGTAAACAATGGGTTCAAAAGGAAAGATAAGTCTGCAAACAGGGACTCAGCATCCGAGGCATTGACAGTTAGAGGCAGAACAAATAACAGGAGATATACAGGGCGAGGAAAGTCTCACTCAAAATCCAGAGGGAAATCATCGGATAGAAGACGTCTTGCAAAAGACGAGTGTGCTGCTTGTCGCCAGAAGGGGCATTAGGCAAAAGATTGTCCCAATAAAGACAAAAAAGAAGAAAATGTGAACATTGCACAAGATGGAGATAATGGTGAAGGATCAGCCTTCACAGTTTCATCATATGGCCAGTCTAATGAATGGATAATAGATTCCGGATGTTCATACCACATGTGTCCTAACAAGCAGTGGTTCTCGAGCTTACGAGAGTTCGATGGAGGAGTTGTGCTGATGGGCAACGACCAAGCTTGCCAGACAAAGGGGATTGGAACAATTCGACTGAAAATACATGGTGGAACAATCAGAATTCTTGAAGATGTTCGGTATGTACCAGCTTTGACAAAGAATCTCATCTCAGTGGGAGTTTTAGACTCCAAAGGTTACAGAGTAACTATGGAAGGTGGAGTCCTCAAAGTTGTTCGAGGAGCATTTGTTGCAATGAAGGGTACTCAACAGGGAAATTTATATTTCCTAGACGGCTCTACGGTCACAGGGAGAGTGGCTGTCTCCACCAGTTCCAGCTCAGAAGATGATGCATCAGACACTTCCAAACTTTGGCACATGCGCCTAGGGCATGTCGGTGAGAAGGCTTTACAAGGGTTGGTAAAGCAAGGCTTGTTGAAAGGCGCCAAAACAGGGAAGCTTGAGTTCTGCAAGCATTGTGTACTGGGTAAGCAAACAAGAATCAAGTTTGGTACTGCTATTCATCGTACCAAAGGGATTCTAGACTACGTTCACACCGACATTTGGGGTCCTTCCAAGAATGCTTCATTGGGAGGTAAACACTACTTTGTATCATTCATTGATGATTTTTCAAGAAGAGTTTGGATTTACACAATGAAGCACAAAGACAAAGTCTTAGACATCTTTCTTATGTGGAAGAAAATAATTGAGACCCAGACAGGTAGAAAGATCAAGAAGCTCAGATCTGACAATGGTGGGGAATACACATCAGATCCCTTCTTAGAGGTTTGCCAGAATGCAGGGATAGTGAGACATTTCACAGTTCCTCGAACACCGTAGCAAAATGGAGTTGCAGAACGCATGAACCGCACTTTGGTGGAGAAAGTCTGGTGTATGCTGTCACATTCTGGATTGAGCAAGGCATTTTGGGGCGAGGCATTGAACTATGCTCGTCATCTTGTCAACAGACTACCTACTGCAGCACTAGATGGCAAGACTCCCATGGAAGTATGGTTAGGAGTGTCAGTTACTGATTATGATCAGCTACGTATCTTTGGATGTCCATCTTATTTTCATGTTACAGAATCTAAGTTGGATCCAAGAGCCAAGAAAGCCATCTTCTTGGGCTTCAGTGATGGTGTCAAGGGATACAGACTCTGGTGCCCTGAATCAAAGAAAGTTGTCACTAGAAGAGATGTTACCTTTGATGAGTCTACAATTCTGAAGCAACCAAATCCTCAAGAAAATGATGAAGCATTGAAGAAGTCAGTGCAGGTGGAGTTTGAGACTCCAGCAAAAACTAGTCAGCCAATCAACCATCCTGAAGAAGTCTCAGTGGATAGCTCTGAAGAAAGTTCAGATGAAAATGAAGATCCAGAGGCCCCACAACAATCAGAACCCATTGCAATCAAAAAAGGGAAAAGGGTTACTAAGCAACCTAGTTGGATGATCGATATGGTAGCCTATGCATTTCCAATCATTGAAGACAATGTTCCTTGCACTTTCAAAGAAGCCGTGCAGCATGCAGAAAGTGTCAATTGGAATGAGGCTATGGATGAAGAGATCGGGTCACTTCACAAGAACCAGACTTGGGAGTTGGTGCAACGTCCAAAAGGCAAGAAAACAATTGGGTGCAAGTGGGTTTACACCAAGAAAGAAGGCATCCCAGGCAAAGACAACATCAGATTCAAAGCTAGATTGGTAGCTAAAGGCTATGCTTAGAAGGAAGGAATAGACTGCAATGAGGTATTCTCATCTATTGTAAAGCACACGTCTATTCGTATCTTGTTAGCTTTGGTTGCACAATTTGATCTCAAGCTCTCCCAACTCGATGTCAAAACTGCCTTTTTACATGGAGATCTTGAAGAGGAGATATACATGTCCCAGCCAGATGGTTTCAAACTTGCTAGAAAAGAGAATTGGGCCTGTAAGCTGAACAAATCGTTATACGGATTAAAGCAATCCCTGAGACAGTGGTACAAAAGATTTGATCGGTTCATGATAGAGAAAGAATACACAAGAAGTCAATTTGATCATTGTGTCTATTTCCGTAAGCTTCCAGATGGTTCCTTCATCTATTTGCTCTTATATGTGGATGATATGCTAATTGCATCTAAGAGCAAGGTGGAGATTGACAAACTTAAGTTACAGTTGGCAAGAGAGTTTGAAATGAAGGATTTGGGAGAAGCAAAGAAAATTCTTGGCATGGAGATCAAGAGAGATAGGAAGAAGGGCACGGTTTGTCTGACACAAACCCAGTATCTAAAAAAGGTGTTAGACCGATTTGGCATAAATGGGAAAACAAAATCTATGAGTACACCATTGGCCCCTCATTTCAAGCTCAGTGCTTCGATGTCTCCACGTACAGAAGAAGAACAGAAGCATATGGCACAAGTTCCATATGCAAATGCAGTTGGTGCATTAATGTTTGCTATGGTTTGTACAAGGCCTCACATCTCACATGCTGTGAGTATGGTAAGCAGGTATATGCATGATCTAGGAAAAGATCACTGGCAGGCAATGAAATGGATCCTAAGGTACATACATGGCACAGTTAATCTGGGATTGAAGTTCGAGAGAGATAACCGACTCGGACAGAATCTGGTTGGATATGTAGACTCAGATTATGTTGGTGACTTGGACAAACGCCGACAACAACAGGGTATGTATTTACGCTTGCTAAAGGGTTGGTGAGTTGGAGGTCAACGCTTCAGTCAACGGTGGCTTTGTCTACCACAGA